CCCGGCCACTCCCGAGCCCCTTTTTTAGGGCAGCTTTYTCCCTCTTTGGTGCCTTTTTCAGGGCATCTTTTCTCCCAGTTGGGAGCAGTTTTTCCCCATTTGTGGCATTTTTAGGGCAGTTTTTTCCCCATTTGTGTCCCTTTTTAGTACAGTTTCTCCCCATCTGTGCCCTCTTTTAGTGCAGTTTTTCCCCATTTTTGCCCTTTTTTAGGTCAGTTTTTCCCCATCTGGGGGCAGTTTTTTCCCCATTTATTCCCTATTTTGGTTCAGCTTTTCCCCTAAGGACAATTCCCTCTCCCTGTCCCATTCCCAGTGCGTTTCCTGCAATAAATCCTTCAAGAAGCTCTGGTCCCTCCACGAGCACATCAAGATCGTGCACGGCTACGCCGAGAAGAAATTCTCCTGCGAGATCTGCGAGAAAAAGTTCTACACCATGGCCCACGTGCGCAAACACATGGTTGGTGAGTCGGGGGGAAAGGGAAAATCCTGATGGGAATTGGGAATTTCTGACAGGATCGTTTTCCTGATGGATATTGGGGTGGGAATTCCTCCCAAAATCATTTCTCTGCCAGGAATTGGGGTGGGAACTTCTCCCAAAATAATTTCTTTGCTGGGAATTGGGGAATTCCTGCCAGGATGGTTTCCTTGCTGGGAATTGGGGTGGGAATTTCTCCCAGGATGGTTTCTGTGCCCGGAATTGGGGTGGGAATTCCTCCCAAAATCATTTCCCTGCTGGGAATTGGGGAATTTCTGCCGGGATCGTTTCCCTGCTGGGAATTGGGGTGGGAATTCCTCCCAGGGTGGTTTCTGTACTGGGAATTGGGGTGAAATTCCTCCCAAAATCGTTTCTCTGCTGGAAATCGGGGTGGGAATTCGTCCCAGGGTGGTTTCTCTGCCGGGAATTGGGGTGGGAATTCCTCCCAAAATCATTTTCCTGCTGGGAATTGGGGTGAGAATTCCTCCCAGGATTGTTTTCCTGCTCAGAGCAGCTTTGGGAATTCTTCCCAAAATCATTTCCCTACTTAGGATTGGGGTGGGAATTCCTCCCAAAATCATTTCCCTGCTGGGAATTGGGGTGAAATTCCTCCCAGGATGGTTTCTGCACTGGGAATTGGGGTGGGAATTCCT